CAACTGTTTTACAGATTACACCAGCAGATAAATGCACACCCAATGCTTATTTCCAAAATTTAACAAGGGAAAATAAGGTAATTTCAGTTCTGAACACAACCTTTTGGAAGAAAAGCATTAACCCCCCTATTCCACAGCAATCATCAACTATTTTCTCCGTCACTGCAGGAGTGCTGGTATAGCTGAGCCATACTCACAACAGAGCTAACAACTGTAATTCAGCTTTATTTTAAACAGTAGACTTGCACTGAGTGACTGACAACATTGAAGATTTTGATGCTGTGCTGCTCCAGAGAATAAATCAGTTTGTTTTCTCTATGTAATCATTAAGATTTCAAGGAATTAGATTTTTCAGCTCTAAACACTGACTATGCACAGGCCAGTATGAGTGTGACTTTGATAGTCTTGATTCTTTCATTCTACCCATAGGGAAGACTGGTATTAGACATGGTGCAAGAACATAAGGGGAAAACTATCCGCTGTCTAGTACTAAGCAATATTCTTTGATAAAGCCCTTCTGAGAGAAAGGGGGAGTTTGCCTTATACAGCTTGAACTACAGGATAGCCATTGCTAACATGACCAGGCTCACCCAAACATCCTAGCTTACTGCATGGAACATAAAGGATTATAGAGTTCTGCAAAGTCACAAGCCATGCATGCACTATGGATCCCTTCACTTCTTCAGAAGGAAGGCAGCAAGTACTCTCAGACTACGAGTCACTTGTTCTGCTATCAGCTCCACTTGGTGCACGCCAAACCTCCTACCTCCACACTGAGCACACAGCAGGTTGGTGAAAAAGGCTCTTCCCTACTGAACCTCCCTGTGATGAAATGAAGTGCATGGGCTCACAAAGATGATACTTCCCCAGACACACAGATGCTCATGAGCACAAGTTAAAAATCTTGGAATGGAAAGACACAATTTCCCATTAAAGCAAGTTTAACTGAAGCAGAGGCACAAAGAAAGGATGTCAGACGACTCGAGTGACTCAGGAGAGTTTATGGAAGAATTCGCCTAAGCGTAGTTAGGTTTTTGGTGGGGTTTTGTTTTCAAGGGTACTGAAAGATGAGGAGACTACGGTGCCTGGGACATCATGTAGTAAATACCTTACACTGTTAATCTGTTATTTTCAGGATTCACTCAGTTTTAAGTGCTTCAAAATTGCATACCAGTCTCCATCAGAATATGCAGAAATAACAACACGCAGCATCCAAGATCACTGAGAAGTAATTTAAGAAGAGTAAATCCATACCACAGTCAAAGACAATTCTAAAGTGCTTTTCTTTTCTATGATATTTTTGAGATGAAGATTCAGTATATGATCAGTACTTCACGTGAATCTTCAACTTGGGAAATGGACTCCTGATCATCTCAGACATGTCATTTCACCTTTATGTAACCTCTACCCATCCATTTTATGAATTCCAAGCATATGCTCCTTAAGGAAAGCATGTTCGTTATCTAAAAGCAGCCACATTATGAAAGAAGATAAAAAAGGGGGTTTTGCTGGTTTTAATCAGCAGGCTGAAGAGCACTCTGTGATTTACGACTATGTGGTCTGACCTGGCAGATGTTATTCCGCCTTCACAAGCTGTAACTCTTAATTGGAGCACTTCCAAACGAATCTCAGTGACTAAAGTAGCCCCACAACAATCTTAAAAAGATCAGACTGAATTCTGACACTTCCCATATTTATACAATTTCCACACAGTACTATCTCTGGAACTATTTAACATACTTCATCAGCTGGAAATAAGAGTATTCCACCATATAAAAGAGTTTCCCTGCAATCCCAACAGAACCTGACAGAAGTGGCTCATTAGTCTAGCAATGATACAATGCATTTCCTGGGCAAATTAGACTCTAGGAAGCCATGATCAGGACTGCAGTTGCTATCAAACTGGTTCCACTAATGAAGAGCTTCCCTTAATCAAAACTTGGCGATATCCTGATTTACAAATAACTGCACCAATGTTTCCTTACTTAGAGTTGACATTTTCAATGGTTTCATTTTAATGCACAAGTTCTTTATAACCTTGATTCAAAGGACCCGTTAAAAAAACCCTCCACAATTTCTTTTGTCAACCAAGAAGCTGTACATTCTCTGTCAATGACGTGCTGTTTAAAACACTAAGATGTAGGAGTTCACAGGGCTTGTTAATTCATTTCACAGAAAATATGTATTCACTGAGAACGTTTAATCACTGTCCTACAGTTAACACTTAGGAATTTGTAATTCAGACCAAATATGCTGATGAATTTTAGAATGAGCCTTTAAACAACACAGGAAGCTGTGTTTTGTGACAAGGAATAAAGAACGCAGCCAGATTTCATATGCATCTGTCTCCATATGGTCCAATTACAGAATGCAGGTCACACCTAGCCTGCAGAAAGTCATCTGTCTTTCTTCTACCTTTTTCCCCTGAGGAAAAAAATAGATATCAGCCTGGGCAACACATGCTGCCTAGAAAGCTTAGCATCATGCAAGAGACACCAGAGACTCAATTGCTTCTGCAGATGTGCCCCTTGGTGCGAGCAGGACACACAGCTCAGGAGGTGCAATTCTCTTTGTCAGGAAAAGAGTTGGGAACATGCTGCCAGGAACCAGCACAGGAAGGTGCAGACACACAAATCTAGCTCACAGCCGCTGGAGTCATCCTTTGGTATGCTGTATTTCTCAACTATGCAGCTGTTTCGTTATTATTTCAAAGAGGAAACTCTCAAGTGCTCATTCTACTAGTTTATCTTGGCACAGAACTGGGCAAAGGAACTTGAACAACAGTTAGGTAAAGGAAGAGAGATTTTATTGACCTCATCCTCTGCCAGTCCAAGCACGCTCCCAGGTAAACATATCAGACCCCTAGAGAGGGGCTAAGATTCCAAACTCCTCTGAAGCATTTACTGAGCACTACATCTTCTGAGCTTGAAGATGAAGTTGCTCTTGAAAAAGAAGCAATGCCCAAGCAATTGCTTTCTAAGAGTGCTCCGTTTTGCTACTTCCTTACTCCTTCTAAAACAAGTTTATCTAATGAATTTTATGTAACTGGATGAACACAATTTGGCTGCTTGTTACTCCCTGAATTCTTCCAGTAAAAGCTGGCTCCCAGCTTCAACTGAGTTTAAGACCAATTTGGATTCTGGCTGTATTTCAGTTACCACTTTATTGTACTGGGATTAAAATGAAGGACTATACTATGTCTTAGGTGAAACAAAGTAAGGAATTTCACAAGAAAGTCTCAAAACTCCTGAAGTTAGCCAAAGCAGTTCAACTTATCTGATATGTTTATAATATCTAGTAATAATTAAGCAGCTTGAAAAGATATGACAATAACAGCCCTGCAGTAATCTAAAAGAGGTCTTTTCCGTTAAGTCTCAGAATTGCCTTCTCAAAGCCCTAGATTTCCCTAGATGGCTGATGTACTGCTGATACACAGGCTCTTCCAAAAGCCCTACCAGGTCACCCTTGTCTGGAGGAACTGATGCATAGTCTCAAATATCTTTGACCTTGAGAACTCCTGCCAGCCACTACCATTTATCATCACTGCAGCTTTGATCTTTGTGTCGCTCGCTTTTCATCTATTCAAAGTCATACCGTTTCTGGAACGTGGTATCTTTTGATAACTCCAAGCAGAATAGGTCTATAGAACTATTTTAGTTACCCAGCATAGTAGCTCTATGCTTCCAGGACTCTCACAGATGCTCCAAAAAGGACTTCCCCCCTCCAAAGCAGGAAGGGAGAAGAGGGAGAAACAAGAGGAAAGGACCCTTTGGTATCAGAACCTGTTATAGGTATATCTTCTTTGGTTTCAACAGTGCCTTGCAAACAGAGCTGTTATAAAGAACAGACCACACAGCTGATTGAGTCTGGTCTAACTCCTGTGGCAAGGAGACCTACTCTCCTGGCTGCTGCAAAGAACATCATGTACCAAACCAGTTTCAGACCAGCACGCAAGAAATCGTCCTGCTATTGCTCGACATCCACCAAATACACATGGTCAGGTTTCAGAGAGAAAGGATTAACAGACTTCCTCCAGTCAAGAAGGTTTGAGCTCTCTGCTGAAGTTCTTAAGTTCTAAATTCCCAATCCAGTCCAGCTCATCCCTTTAAGCGTCAAATAAGCTTTCTGTAAAGCAAACAATCTAAAGCGGTTTTGGAAAGAGTTTAGGCTTAATCTTGATGGGCAAGTTAGATTTGCTGGACCAAGACAGTACAGGTGATGATTTGGATGAACCTCCAAGCAAAAAATGCTGATGGATTTCTTTTCCCAGTAATGTTGACTTATGTAAGGTGAACATTCAGTGCCAGGAGAATGACAACATGCCTTGTTACCTCTGCTAGATACGAATTGCCATGCTGCTACACACTGCAAGCATGTGCCAAAAGAGAAAGAGTATAGGTAAAGCTTTGCCTAATCCACAAGTACTGTCATCTGAAAGATGTCTTTAGCTAGTTTATTCTTTACACTGTAAATGTAATTTCCTTGGCCATGCATTTCAACCTCTCCAGCAGTACAGAGAAAATAGTAAGAAATTTCACGCTTTCAGCATGCCCAATTTTGACAAGGTTAATGCATGCCATAGCCAAAACCAGAAGCACTGATAAACTAACTCAAAGCAGTCCATATCTGGAGACGAAGTTAATAAATAAATAAAAAATTCCAAGTTTTTCTTCCACAGAAAATCCAACTTTACTCAAGTAACCTGTAGAACTGTTGACAGAGACATTAGGCAAAATCTATTCATTTTGCTTTTGGGGACAGGGGTTAGGGAAAGAAAGGCTGCTTAAACAGGTCCAGTCCTAGCTATAAGATTATCCTTGTGATGGTACTGATGTTATTGAGGCGGCCAGGGAAGGATGTGATATGCAGCCATGTAAGCGTTTCTTCTACATAAGGACTGATTTGTTTAAAACTAGCCTGACAGCATCCTTTTGACCTTATCATATGTCTATATCTTAAAAAAGCAAGAAAACCCAAATTCAAATACCAGAACATATTTAGGAGGCACTTTAAAGGAAGCTAGGTACAGCAACAAGACTAAGATGTTATTTAACATGTACTTAAACTCCTTCTGCGACAGTAAACCAACGAATGTAAATGTGTGCAGGTTATACTGTATCAGATTGTGCAACTTTGCTACAGCTATATCACAGCAGTGTCTGAAAGCTTCTGCTGTATTCCAACATTTTTCTGTTTGCCCCCAGACCCACAAAATGATTACTCCTCACATTAGAGTCTCAGCCTTGTCTAGCACCTTGAAACACAAGCTTGTCCCCTTAAACCAACATACTCCTTTGCAACTGCAATGACGTCCTAGTTAAGGTAACCGCAGCAGATCACAGACCCTGTTCTACACACCACGTGGATTCGAGTTTTAGTTTGCCATGAAGTGTTCTGCTGTGTTCAGTGAAGCTTAACTTTCAGTTCTTCGCTTCCTCCTTCCATTTACAGTTGCATGGAAACACTTGATACATAAACCTGAATGCAGAATGAACTGTTTCCAACCATCTACACAAAAGTAGAGTACATGCAAATATTTTAGCTTCCTTTATTAAGTAAAACTATGAGTCATTCCATTACATTGCTATTAGAATAAAGTGAAGCTTAATTCCGTTACCTGATTTTCTTTAGCAGATGATTCCAAGAAAGCTGCATTCCAGGATTCTGCTAAAGCTTTCCCTTCTTCATAGCTGATCACCCTGCCCAAAAGAAAGAAGAAGTATGTTTCTTTGTAACTTGCAAAAGAATTGGAATTTGATACATCAGGAAAGACCTCAGAGTACTGAAGCACATAAATGCATGTAATAGGAATGTTTTGTGAAGTCTGATCCAGAGCATTTGCTTTTGGCTGCTGCCAAATACACTAGTGGGCCAGGTAAAACTGCTATGCAACCCAGAAGAGCAGTTCTATCAAAGTACTGCTTTGTTTTCATAATCTGTGATATCATCTGGTATTTTACAGTTGTGAAAAATACACTTCTGTTAATTCTTTTTTAAAAAAAAAACAACCAAAAAAACCCAAAACAAACAAACAAAAAAAAACCAACAAAAAAACCCCAAACAATCCAAAATGTTAAATGACCATCCCTGGAACTGTATAGCAAAAGTCAACATTACAACAGAAGTTCATGGCTCCTAGTTCACATTCTGGACACGATTCCTTTGCTAGTAGCTTATTTTAACCTACAATTTGATTTTAGTTATGGAAAGCCAAGAACAAAACTAGCGCCTTGCAGCC